AGGTCAGGTACAGGTCAGTCAGGTCAGTATCCGACCCCTGGGCTGTAGATTTTTTGTTCATACTCGATAATGATGAACACCATCTTCTGTAATTCCACTGCCCATTCACTTATCATTGCTCTAATACACAGTCAATACACACATTGTTATTTACACTGCAAGAATGAATATATGTTTCTCAGCGAAGGTAATCGTGATTAATCACGATTAATTGTTATTAATCACGACTAATTGTTTTAACAATCCTTGTACATTTGACCTCCAGTCTGAGCTGCAGTGATTCTGTTTACTGTGACGTCGACGCTCAGTTCACCGCAGTCAAACGATGATGCTGGAGAAAGTGATGCTGTCAGGACTAAATAAATAAATAAAGCAAAGTGTATCTGGTTTGACTGGAGTCTGACGGAATGTTCTGGGTCGTTTCAGACCTGGTCCTGGTTCAGTCTTTATATGATTACAGGTTCAGGGGAAAGGAAAACGACAGGTGAAGACAGGAAGACGGACAGGACGGGAGGGATGACGGGTGGGTGGGATGAGTGGGAGAACCAATGACAGACAGGCTGCCAGGAGGGTGACAGGTTCAAATACACAGGAGTCACTGCACAGCTGCCAGAGAGGGGGAGGGGGAGGAGAGGAGGAGGGAGGACTGGGGGGAGATGAGATGGATTTACAGGATTGAAGATGCTCATTTGTAAGAACAGGTCTGGTTCAATCATCTGAACTAGAAGAAGAGAATATTTTTAAAAAAGAACACAGTATTATCTACTCGTTTCGACATCTTGTACTTATTGATAAAAATGATCCCCACTAATACAGACAGGACAAAGTGAAACATCTCATTGCTCTTCATAGATTTCATAATCAACGTCAGTGGACTGATATTGAAATGATGAGTTTGAAGCCTGTCGACAGTCAGTAAAACTCCTTCCACCCACACCTTCATCACAACCCTTTCATTTTAGGATTCCCTCAAATTTCCCCTTAAGTCTTCAAACACTTCCAAGACTCCCATATTTTGCAGACCTGGTAAGTTTTACTACATTTTTTTACACCGGGCCCTTTTATTAATGCGTGTATGGAGCAGAGACGCGTGCAGCTGCTTCTACCACATCAAGTATCTGCACCAGCAGACCCTTCACGCCAACTAGGGCAAAGACCTCTCCTGAGGAATGTTTATTTTCAAACACTTGCAGCGGGTCGTCCATTACCATAACATGGATCCGCGGCGTTTGAGGCCCACAGAGCCGACTTCTCACTCATTTTAATTATGCTAATTTCCCCGACGTGCTGTAAGAATATTCCCATCTCAGCTAGAATTAGATCCACAAATACGCAGCTCCTCCATCAAAGTGTTGGGAAATGTCTCACCCCGCGCCCGCTTCCGTAGCCTCCACCCACCTTATGGCCAAAGCGCATTACCGTGGTCCCGGGGCGTGTATAACCCAGTAACTGGTCCAAGGAGACGCAGCCCCCGGCCACCTTGGAGATGGGTCCCATCGGTCCCATCGGTCCAGGCGGGGGTCCAGAACACAGACCAGGCTCAATAAGCTGAAAGGCTCCCTGCTGCTGAGGAACAGCCGCTCGGCTCCACTCATAATTATTCTGTTGGCCACGATCACAGCCTGTTTGACTACTCACACACACACACACACACACACACACTCACAGACAACGTCCAAGTTACTTCAGGCTGCACCATCACACCACTGACTGCAGGCCGATATCACATGTGCACAGAAACAGAACAAACTCCTGCTGGCTCCAGTAAATGGAAGGTGAAATAATAATGAAAGTCTGGCACTTTGAATCAATAGCTGCATCCATCCTCCAGGCGCCAGACTGGCCTTCAGAAATGACACGTTCTGTTTTGTTCTGTTCTCAAACTATTTGAAAAGTTTTTGTCAGAAATTAGACTTAATTGTCAATTTAATTCATTCTACGAGGGGATTCACTTTAAATCATCTCTGAATCACCTCAGCTGCGCTTTGGTGCTGATGCATCTGGAGGTTTTTTTTTGTTGGTCAATAAACCACAATCCTGTGAAGGCCAGGATTCAAACCGACAGTCCTCTGATTACATGGCTCTTCATTCAACCACTGAGCCACAGGCTGCAGTTGAAGGATTACAACTAAGGAATCAAAGTTTGATTTCCTTGTTGGAACTAACCATTGAAATAAGAACTCTCTGCTATGAATGAAATCATTTTTTTTTTTAAATCTATACATCACAACCATTGAAATAAGAACTCTCTGCTATAAATGAAATCATTCTCTGTTTTTTTTTTTAAATGTATCCAGCTCTGAACCAGCTCTGAACCAGCTCTGAACCAGCTCTGAACTCTAACTCCGGTGATGCAGAGATGAAACAGACTGTAGAAGTCGACCGTCTGCTCTCGGGACACCCTCCAGGGGGTCACGGAGACGGACATGGTCTTTTTAATCCTCCTATTCCACCTCAACAAAGAGTCGGACCCAGGACCTGGAGATTTGCAGCCTGGTGTGGAGCAACTGGGATGAACATCAGCACCACCTACTGACATGTTTCCTTCCCAGTTTGGCTGATCCTAGAGATGAGACAAGACGACAAGACGACCAAGAGCATCTCAAAGTAAATCCAGTTGATCTTCTACGTCAGGAGGAACCAAAGACGAAAGCCTGATCCTGTTGACAAGGAAATAGGTTAATCTAATTAAGTACAGGGAAGCCGTGAGTTCATCACAACTAATCGTGATTAATCGTGATTGTAATTAATTAATTCTCAATGCATTGTCCCGAGCTTGGACTGGATCTGCTCTGATAGTTTTCTATGTGATTATAAAAGGACAACTACGGAAAACAACTTTCTTGGGAAGTAATTGTCTCAGTTACCACTTTCTGGACCTTTCCCAATCAGTAGGATCTTCTTTTGGACGTTCTGCGTCCTTTTCTTACGTACGGTCCATGTGACCCAGACAGTTTGAAGCCTCATTATCACAGATGTGATTACAAGACTTTGGTCTAAATTTCAAGTCAAAGAGATTGTGACCAGAGAAAAGAAAAGATTCCCTCTGGCATCATGTCTTCATTTGCTCTCTCTCTCTCTCTATGACTGGAAAAATATTCCATGAATGTGAAACATCGTTTATTTTGTGCTTTTAATGGGTTTTAATTAAGCGCTGCAGTTGTTTAGGAGAGCAGTAGAGCTCTGGGTAAAATCCTGCCTAATGATGAACACTGCAGAAATCACATTAGGAAAAAAAAAAAAAAAGGGAAGAAATTGGACCTAAAAATAGTTCATTAATGACTTGTTTGTCAGCGAGGACTCAGGCTCATGTTGGACCCAACTCCAGCCCATTAAACCAGGACATTAAACTAAACATTGATTATGAGGTTTATTACATAACCTAATAGTGTCTCCTCTGCAGCCGTAGTTACCTACTCTCACCACATAGAGCACAGCATACGTCCACTAAGAAGAAAAGCCCTGTCCACACATCAGGCCTATAAAACACAGTGACTCACATCAACAGTGAAAATGTCCCATCATCGTCCACATCTGCCAGACATGAAAACTTTAATAATTCCTGGCACGGCGCCACCTGATAGCGACAATTTTACAATCTGCTCCGTGTCATCGCAGCAATTATAATCCTATCTCAGTATGACAATGACATTTGCTTTAATTAGGCTATTTGCTGAGTGATTAAAGAGACGCACGCCCACTGGAATAAAAGTCTCGTGCGGAGAAGATTTAATCTGGTGATGAAGAGCACCACAGACTGGTGTGAATCCTGGCCCATATGTTGGGCTTCAGCTGCGTCTTCACAACAATAAATGATCTGTAATGAATAACCAGGACCATGAAAGATCTCCTCTACATTTCACAGTGACAGTGGAAGGACTAAAACTGGACTGAAGATCATTCCCATATTCTAAAGAGAGCAGTCGTGAAATGTTTGAACATCTCTGTTTAATAAAAGATTTTTCAATAACGTTAACGATTGAAAATTCATCTTTTTTTTTTTTTTTTTGCTACTCATAAAATGTGTTTCAACCAGGGGTTGTGGACAACTGCAATTAAATGCAATGACAAAAACCAGCTGATATCAAAAAGATTAATGCTCAAATCTAAAATTTTATAAATAAATAAAATGTGGATTTTTAGATACCTTCAAGTCCAGCAGTGGTGTCTATTTGCATAAAAATGGCAAATACGACAAAGAAAAAAAAACTGCCAAATTTTATCACTATTTTTATCATAATTATCATTAACAAAACTGCATCTCAATGCATTGTTTAAAACCTGCGAGTTCACCAGGCTACAAAAACAGCCTGGAAAACAGTGGTCAGTCAAGATAGATCAAGAGTGACAAAAAAAAAAATCTCAGCAGCTTTAAATGTGACCCAAAAAAAGGTCTGTGTCTCGTTGTGATATAATTTAAGCACTGCAGAGAACCAGAGAGGAGGAAGTCCAGAGGAGGGACTGCACTGTACGGGTTTGGGCAGAGGAGAAGCAAACAACGACTCCATCTAGTGGTTGAGGCGTGTAACAGCATCAGACGTGTGTTGGTATTTATGCAATGTTTTTTCATGTAATGGGACTCTGTAAAAAAAAAAAGTGAATGTGACAACTCCAGTCACTGACTCCTTCATCTCTTCTTCAGACACACATCAGAACACAGCAGCTGAAAGGTTGGATTTTTATTTAGTCTGCTTTTAAAATTTACATTTTCTGTTGAGATTCATTAAAAAAAAAGAGAGATAAAGCATCAACAGCTTTGCAGTCCACATCACAAAGAGATTGCAACATAGAAAGAGTAGAGACGGATGAAGACGACGTAGGCACATTATTTTCCTTTTGAAACAACGTGTGTGTGTTAACTGAGCTGACGGCAAAATATGTACAGCAATGACTTGATCAGGTGACAGCTCGTGCAGGGGAGTCAAGAGTTCACAGGTTAGTATAATAGATCTATGTGTACAAAAAAAAAAAAAAAAAAATTCACTGTCAATAAAAACTAGATCTGGTTGCAACAGGAGGCAGTCACTTTCCCCAACACTCTGCGCCGGTTTATTAGATTACAACTAGAGGGAGGAAGTGGAACTAAACGACTGCTGCTTGTCAAAACCAAACATTTTAGCAAATGTTTCTCCGTATTAATCAACAATACTGAGCTAAAACGGACGTGACATCCAGAAATAAATTAGAAGTGAAGAGTTGCATTAAAAAGAGTACCTGATAATTCCTCTCTGTAGCCTAAGTTTGATACCTTTGCATAACTTATAGAAAACCTGTCACGTTCTAAAAACTCACAGTAATTCTTTTAATAACTAGTCCTGATACCACCTAAGGCCCAGGATTCTACCCTGCAGAATCCACACGCCCTCGAGCTAAACACGCTGGATATTCCGTACAAATAAAGGACACTTTTTCATCTGTTTATATACATAACACTTTTGTACAGTCTCCGCACGTCCATGTGGAACAGATCGAGGCGTCTTCGCTCACAACGTAAATGGAGATCAAATCATCTTCAGTGGATTAAAGTCACAAAGCTATAACTGAGTACATGGATATATGTAAAACGGACGAGTTCAACTGCCTTGGAATTAGAAGAAACGGATGTTTAAAGTCTTGTGGTCTTTTTTTCTGAAGTTACCTCACACACTCGCACACGCACAAAGCCGGGCGGGGGGGAGGGGCGGAGGGGAGGGCTTCAGCCGTCTGCAAAGACATAGTGGAAAAAAAATAGTTAAACTGGTCTGTGTTCACAGGAACCGTCGGCCGCTCTGACAGAACTCAACATGCGACATCGATGGCGTTTCCTGTTCGGACTCATGGAGTGTTCGTTGTGTCGTGTCGTGTCGTGGTGTCACGTTTTCGAGCGTCACGTTAAGATGTTAATTGATTTCAGTTGCACTTCAAAAAAACAACACCCAACGCTAATGAAATTCAAAGAAATGTTAAATCTGGATTCTGTTAAACGGCCACTTGAAGGAGAGCAGCAGCAAGAAAGAGTGAATCTGACGCAGGAGGCAGTCAATGTTCACAACTCTGTTTATAGTCGAAGCCCGAGGACGAGTCCAGTTTCCACCTGCTTTCTTACTGCACGCAGCTTATTCTTGGCCTGATCCACTCCCCACAACTGTGCACACGCTGCTGTTTTCAGGCCTGACAGCAGTGTAAACTGAAGACAGTTGAGGGGCTGAGAAGCTCCACTGGCTCCTGCACTCACTCACACACACGCACTCACTCACACACATACATACACACACGGGGTCCTGCTAAGGTGGAAAGTTGCCGCTGGACCACCTGGAAGCTCAGACCAGAGCCATCACTAGTGAGAGCGGCCCATCGAGTTTGGGGTAGGTTTGGAGGGACATTTGGCAGCTGGGGTCACGGGGTCACTTGGCTCCCTTGGAAGGGGTGTCTGTCTCTGTGCTTTGACGCCCATCATTCCAGGCCTCCCTGGTGCATTTAAGAGCCTGTGTCCGCTGCTGGTCCACAACCACGTAGTCAACACGTTCGTCCGAAGATGCCAAACCAGTTCCGTTGATTTTCATCTGAGCAGAAAAACCACAGATGTCAGATGTCAACAAAAACAAAACAAAAAAAAAACAAAAATTAAAATAAATATATATATGTGTATACACACATACATCCATACATATATGTATATACATATATACACAGATATACACATATATACATACATATATACACAAATATACATACATATATACACCTATATATATACACATATATACATACATATATACACAAATATACATACATATATACACCTATATATATACACATATATACATACATATATACACATATACACATATATGTATATATATATATCTATATACATATATACATATATACATACATGTATGTAGATATATACATATATGTATATACATATATACTACATATACATGTATATGTGTGTGTGTGTGTAGTATTTCATCGTACCTTTCTAGGTGGCGTGGACTTGCCAGGGTCAAGGTCTAAATCCAGGTACTCCACCTGTTTGTCTCCCTTCGGTTTCACCATGGGGCTGCCTCCGCCCTCTGCCGTTATGGGGGGCAGAAGCTTCATGTTCTATGAAGGCCAGGGAAGAATGTTCTTATTAAGGGAAGAGAATCACTGAAGCAGAGTCTGATTAAAGGCGACCACTTCACTGAACACAGTATTGTGTTGTCACAATAACAAAAAATGAAACCATTGGTGATTTAATCACAATTTATGATCGTACTTGTGTCTTGATGATACAGTTGGATTTTGGAGTTTTTTGGGTTTTTTTTTTTTTTGGCTTGCTTTCTCAAAACACCACAGTCATGGGATTCAAACTACAGTTGGATTTTGGAGTTTTTTGGGGGGGGTTTTTTTGGCTTGCGTTCTCAAAACACCACAGTCATGGGATTTAGTAAATAGCAATCGTCAGACCACAAGTCCAATCGTGTAAGAAAAGGCCAGAGGTTGTACTAGTTGTTTCTCATTCTTTATCTCACGCCTCCTTGTTAATGATTTAACGAGTATAATTATTAAAACTAAAGAGACCTGCATGTTTACCTGACCAGTGTTTCCCAATGTGGGGGACCGGTTCCCCTGCAGGGACGCTAAGGCTATTGCAAGGCACAGACTGTCACTTTATATTTATATTTACATATTTGTTATGTTACAGTCCTGAAGCGGTACCACGTGTTTCAGATAAAGTTCAGTGTCATTTTTGGCTCAAAAGTGGCGCCTGGATAGACCATGCAATAGTCAATTTTTACACAAGGGGGCGCTGCACAAAAGTCTAGACACCGCAGTTCGACACGTTGCACATTTAATCATGTTGCAAGTGAGAAAATAAAGACGGTTCAGAGAAACAGATTTCGAACATTTGATATTGTGACAACAACACGTGCGACATGTTGGACCTGAAGGCACTGTTTAGTTCTAACTACAGGTGTGATGAAGTATTAGATGAAGTACTGTGATGGATCTAGACTTGTAAAAACACTCAGGGTAAACNGAGGGGAGGGGAGGGGAGGGCCGGCAGGAGCCGACGTAGGTTTTATGACTTCGGTTAATGTCGTCGTCCTACGGCACCTCGAGGTGATGACTTCTCATGCGGTGACAGCGCAGGGCATGCATCACCTAACCTGGCAACCCTGCTCACCTCCTCTATGGTGTCAAGTTCCTCCACCTCCCTCTTTATAGGGGTGATGGGGACCGTGCAGTAGAAGGACTCCTCTCTACACACAGTAAGCAGAAAGAAGCCACGACGGAGCAGAAAAAGAAAAGAACAGAAGATGGTCAAGAACAAAATGCAAAGGGGGAAAAAAAAAAGGAACGTGGTTGAAGCTGGAGCCTGGTGGAAGGAGCAGAGGAAGGAGAAACTAGGAGGCAACAAGAGTGAGGAGAAGAAAAAGGAAAATCAGCAATACATGAGCAAATGAAATAAGAGAGAACCAAATTGTAAAAGAGGGAAAAGCAGGAAAACCAAATGTGAAAAGAACTTTATAGTTTTCCTTTGACAACTTTACTGGAGTTTGTACTGGTTTTATGGATAGAAAAAAAAAAACAAGCATTCTTAAAAGAACAGCTGCGAAACCTGAAAAGTAAAAGAAACAAACAGAAGGTGAATAAAACATAACAACAGGAGAGAAGAAGGCTGCAAAAAAGGAGTTAGGCGTGGAGGAGTCCATCTGCAGCAACCAGAATGAGTCCTGACTAACGAGTGGCTCAGAGGGTCAGAAGGTCACGGTGGGTTTTTGTTTTTTTTTCATCTTTTTGTCAGTTTTTGTTTTTCCCCCTGATCTGTATCTACCTCAGTGCCATTTAAGCAGGTATTTGTGATTTGTAAAAAAAAAAAAAACTTCATATGTTTACATACTGGATCATCTGTGGACATATTAGGCACCATGGCAACATAATTCTCTTCACAGTCCTCGGAGTCAGTGCTGGAGGCCAAGCTATGCACTGATGGGGGTCTCGCTGGCATTGGAAACCTAGGGGGACTGAGCAGCATTCACAATGTTTACACACCATCTCCCTGACAAATGCAGTTTTTTTTTTCAAAATTACACAAATGTACCCCCCCTCCCTCCCACCGACTTGACGGCCACTGCATTCAAAAGAGCCTGCAGCACAGATTTACAGTTCATCTCAGACAAACAGGTGTCAGTGAAGTGGAGCTCTGAGACATGAGCGAATGAGACGCTGGTCAGAGAGTAATCACTGTAATGTATGAAGCGTTAGTGCTAATTTCTGGAGTTAATGATTACCACTAAGTGAGGCATGTTCACGCCAAAAAGTGTGACGTGTGAATACAATTACAGATTGCGTCAAGCAGCAGGCAGGACAGCGGACACCTGATCCAAAATAAAAGCATCACCAAATTAAGTCAAGAGACGAAGAGAAGCGACTTCTCCCCCAATTTTCTTTTTTTCCTACAACAAGCATCTGCATTTGATTTAATCTTTGAAAAATAAAACAAAAAAAAATCTCCACAACAAGGAACATGTAGTAAATAATTGGGAGAATCTGTGAACATGCCCTCAGATGTTAGAAACATTCAGGTGTAGAAGCGAGTCTGGACGACCCTCCAGGTACTTACTCCGCTCGGGTGAATGAGCGCGTGACGGGTGAGCGTACGGGGGCGCAGGGCTCCTCCCATTCGGGCAGTGGTTTGATCTCCAGTGGAGCGGGTTTTCCTGAAACAAGGAACACACAGCTGTCAGTCACTGGACATGACACTGGACTTCACCAGTACCTGCTGTATGTCTGTGGGGGGGAGGAGGAGTGAGGTGAAAGGGGGGGTGGAAAAACCTCAATCCTACATTCTCACAGTTCAGGGAGAATTTAATTCACTGTGATTTAGTGATTTTTAGCACCATTTCTGTGCCAAAATATCGATACTACAATATATCTCGATATTTCATTTTTCAGTATGTTATCAAGGTACTAGATACTGCATTCGTGGGTCGTTAAAAATCATTAAAGACAGGAAAACAATAAGAGTCAACCTCAGCAGCAGAGAGCAGCACTTCACTGGAACAAACAACGTGGTGAATAACAGTATAAACACTCTCTGAGCTAATCTACCCAAACTGACCCTCAATTATGTGTTAATTAGACAACACCAACTAACGAGACCCTTGAACACGGCTAACTGGACCTGTTGACTCCCTCCTCTCTCTCTTTCTCTCCCCTTAGCTCCTTCTCTCTCACTGATTCTTGCTCTGTTCTTTAAAAAAAAAAATTCTAATTTACGCTTGGCTGAGTTTTTTCGCTACACTCATGAACAGCATGCATGTGACAAATGACTCTCTCTCTCTCTCTCACTCTATCATGTTGGTTTTATCTATTAAAAAAAGCAAATAAAAATTATTAAAATATATTTTACTGCATGGACTCATAATGACAAGAAATGTGTGGGGGGAAAAAGAAATGTTAGTGAAGTTTATGGTTAGCATACATACCAGAGTGGTTGTCACGGTAATGAGTTAATGCACATCCCAGCTCTTCATGAAGTTTCAACACTAACAAAAATTAAAGCTTCTGAAGCTTCTAGACTGACACAGAACTTTTCACACCTTTTTAACGGCACAGTCTGGTTTTGAATTAACCTGTGGTTGTTGCTGAAGTTTATTTTAAAAAATGTGAAATTGTAAAAATCAGTGTTTACTCTCTGAACACATAACCATTGAGGTGAGGTAAAAGTATGTGGATGATGTGGAGAACCAACAACAAACTCAGACCAAGTACAGATATGAATCCCCTTAATATTCTGCTTTTTTTTTTATAACTCTGCATTGGTGATATATTTTATTTTAACATCTCTGAGGTCATATATTTGTCACAGACAGACACTAACCCTTGTTAACTGTTTGATACCGAGAGCATGCAAAGAGTCATGGGGTAGAGTTGAGAGAGGTCAGAGAAAGGAGAGTGTTCAAAGACACGATGGCAGATCAGTGTCGAGTACCTACCCTTACGTCGTCCCCTGGGGAATTCACCTACGGTTTGAGAGTCGGTTCGCTCTAAAACGACACCCTTTGCTCTTATTATTTTAGGACTCTGACCTGATTGGTGAAAGAAGACTTTGCTTATTATAAAAAAAAAAAAATTGGTGATCACAACAATTTAGCCCCACGGTTAGATACTGCTCTGCCATGCAAAGCGAAGGAGGTGATTGTGTGCAGACATCCTGACGAACACCCAACCACCTGTTGGTGCAGCACACGGTTATGGAGATGATGATCGTCATGACAACAGCAGAACCACGCTGCCCAACATGCACCTCACTCCATGCACCACGGCTTCCCACACAAAGACTGACATCACAGCTGTGCATGCATGATGAGTACACTCAGAAAATCATCTTATATTTGACACAAGCAGAAACAGATCTGTGCTCTACGGTCTGATCTTATTTTTGACATTTACAACATTTTTTTTCCAGAGAGCAGACAAAGACTCACAATCTCAAAAATCAGGAGAATCATTTTTTTTTTCTTTTTTACACTGTTAATGAAAGTTGAATAAAAAGGGAAGGTGACGAGAAGCTGCTGAATGATCAGAATGACAAGAATCAAAGCAGTTAGAAAGTGTTAAGCCAGGATGAAAAAATGCAGACGTTAATGATGGTGGTAACTGTAATATAAGTTTAACCCAATGAGTGCCATTCTGGACAATTAACCTGCACACCATAGTACATTTATTGATTACTGATACACCAGTAATGTCATTCTGATTAGTTTCCCAATTAAAACACACCAATGACAACAACTGGAAATAGGTTTAAACATGTTTGTTTTTGCTCATTCTTCAATTCTGAAATAAAAAAACCTAAGCTTTAACTGCATTTTATGGTGAAAAACATATAAATAAAAAGATCAGCAAGTTGTCACTAGTAAAATATTAATTGGTATTTACAGTATGTAGCAGTTTTTCATTGTGTGATTACAAATACTGTTGTATTAATAACATCAGTAAAATTGAGAGGACCATAACTACAAATAAACTATTGTAGAGTAATAGCTGAAATATATCTTAACTACAAATAAACTATTGTAGATTAATAGCTAAACTAGCTGAATAACTACAAATAAACTATTGTAGATTAACAGATAAAATAGCTAAAACAAATCTAAAAAATCCTGTAATTTTAATTGTTCAACTGTATGTCATCAGTCAGAAAGACAAACATCCAAGGTTGTCATTTGTTATCATGTTCTATGAGCTGTGAAAACCACTAGTGATGGCTCTTTTTAGTTGGAGCAGTTTAGGAATTTTGTGTGGACCTTTGGAGAAAGCCAGAAAAATTATCAAAGTAATTCAGCTCTGCAAAATGTCTGGTGTCAAATTTGGAGGTCAGAGAAAAACAAAAACATTAAAATTCATCCTGGTAATCAGTAAAACTACACTTCCTACTTTGCTGGTGACCAATTAAAAGAAAAGAAAAAGCTCTTCTTCTCCTGACCTGTGTAACGACACCGTGTCGTTCTTCAACCCACTTGCTCTCAACGCCTGTTACTGGGCCTTTCCATCAGCTCAGACTGAAATCCCCCCTTTGCCATCAGGGCTGCTATCAAAGGGCTCCATTCACATGAAGGGACAAAGGAGATGGAGGTGACCACTCCACTCTTTGGTCACTCCGTGGCACAGGAACTGGCCTCCGCTAAAACGCTCGACGACGCCTCCCCAGCCCGAGGACAGAGGTGCTTTTCAGCAAAGCTCGCTTTGTCAAGGATTTTAGTAAATGACTGACAGTAAAGTAAAAGATTTTTGAACGGATGATGGAAGACCGAAGAGTAAGACACAAAGACTTTTATGGACCATGAGCCAGCAGAGTATGAGAAGCAGCTGAGCGTTAGACACATCACGTTAGGAAAATCAGATCAGAGCAGAGCGGAAGACGTGAAGTGGAAAGACGAATCAACAGCCTGAGATTAGATCAACCACAACACCAACACCACTAGTCTACGCCACATCAACCATCTAGTCCACACCCGGTGTCCACTCACCTTTACGATCAGGTTTGAGGTTTCGATCCACAGGCGGGGGCTGGCAGTCGCTCATCAGCGGCCTGCGGGGCGGGGTCTTTGGACTGGAGCGGAATCCCATGTGAGCGGGTGGAGGAACCTGCTTTCCCAAGGAGGAGAACTCCATGGTGCTGGGAGTCATGGGCACATAGTTGGCTTCGTGAACTGGCTCTGGCAAACTGCCCGTGTGATGATGTGATGGGGAGTTGGCGCCCATGGGAACGTAGTTCTGATCGACCTCTTCAGTGGACTGGCTACAAGCTGGTATCATTCCTTTGTTTTTCTTCAAAAAAAAAAAGAAAAAAAAGAAAAACCTTGATTACAACAAATGGCTCACAGCTGCTTCCAGGCAGACAGACAAATAAATAATTCAAGGCGAGGAGCAGTAAAACTACACAGTGACGTATGACATTGTTACTTTCCTCAATTTCATCGTTTCGCCGAGGATTTCGTTAACTACCCTCTTTTCTAACACCAAAACTTAACAACAGTTAGCTCTAAATGTATGGGCACATTGGTCAACTAATCACAACAAGGTATGACATCTGGCTGGAGTCCAACCACCACTGGTTTCAAATGATGGCGAGAGCCAATCAGAGCTAAGTCTGATGGCTTTATTTTTGTCCACTTATTTTAATTTAAATTTAATCAACTGAAACAATTTTGATATTTTGTCGACTAAAAGTTACTAAATAACTAATAACTAAATATAGAACAGTTATTTTGACTTAATTATTAGGACTAGCATTAAGTCCAAATTTAACCAACAGGCTAAGACTAATCCTGGCAGTGAAAAGTAACACTGATGTATTGACTTTACCTAGAGATGATAATTAGCAGGAAGTAGGACAGAACACTGGGACGCCCTGCACTCTGTTCTACCTGTGGTGTTCCTATCATTAGAAAAGTCCCTGCTATCAGTTACAATAACTGTACTGTGAAAGTCAAGGTTCAACAGGTCAGTTCCAACACTGCTGTCACCACACCAGAACTAATGCTTGTGTTTTTGCTCTCCAGTAATGTGATCGTCATGTGATTGTCTCAGTCAAGGTTATGTGAGCGTACTACGAACCATGAGGCTGTGTTATACAGGCAGGAAATAAACCTAATAATAGACCGAAAGTTGTAAAGGTGTTAATATTATAAAAATATATATATATATATCACTTACAAAGTAGCTGTTGAAGCTTTCATTGAAGTCAAAGGAACAGCTTTTGTCAGAGGGGAATGATCGAGGAATGTCGTAGCAATCCTGGGATCCGAAATCTGGAAAATTAAATAATAATATAAGAAGAGAACACATACAGGACATAGCATACATTATACTGGAGGAATTAATGATGACATCACATTAACATCAGTAATGTTTTATACTCCTCGATGAACACGCTGCACTCACTGATGCAGTTCACTGTCGGCCCCAAAAGAACCGCAGAGACTCAAGAAGAACACGTTCTGCCAACGCCAGCTTCAGCATAGAGACATCTCTTGTAGTTTGGTTTAATAACATCATTCAAATATCATCTGTTTCTAACAGTATTTGAATTTAAACGACCAAAACAATAAATGTTATCTAGTCAACAACTATTTGTAGCACCATTTGTCACCACAAGAGGGCGAAATATTGGAAATACCGTGTGAATTAGATGGGCTCTGTTAACAATAACCATTAGAACTTCATTATCAGATTTTAAACGAATACAGTTTATCGCTGTTTTAAAATAAAGTCAAATTCAGGGTAAGATTTGAACTCTGAAGTTGTGAAGCTCGTGTACTGAGTGGAAACTCTAACGCCAACAGCAACAGTGATGATACAACAACGACGAGACTTAAATTTCTGATAAAAACAGAGATGAACTGATTAGAAAAAAAGGTCATCTGAGCTTTGAAAGTCGATCACAAGTTTAGTGTTTGCTAAAACTTGGCCAGAACTGTAAGTGTATTGTTCAGCACTATAAATATACTAATAATTAAATAATAATAATAATAATAATGTGAGAGTGTTTGCTGGCTTTCAGTGTATGTTTTTAAACATAAAACAGTAAAAAATGTCTGAAACGACATCATAACTTTACGTGTTGGTTAACGTTGTCCAGACTCACCGTCTGGCTTGACTTCCCTGATGGTGTCGAACACCAAGACAAATCTGTTTTAACTAGTCGACAGCTGATAGTGAACACTGTTAGTTAGTCAGTTTACAGTCACCACAACCATATGCAAATGTAAATCTGTGTCGAGTCTGAACCTGTTTTTTAAGTCTCTGAGCCCAATGTAGCTGTTTGTTCAGGAATGAACAGATAGAAAAACAGCAAGAAAACAAGGAAAGCTCAATTTAATTCCTAAACGTGTTAATCGTTAACAGGTGAGAAAGAGTGAAAACTATAGTGAAGTACTTGCAGCACGCTCCATGTGTAAAATGTATGTATTGTTAAAAGTATGAAAACTGAGAAGTATCAGCAACTGATGGTGTGAGATGAGCGTATATTTTCAAAGTTCAAAAGTCTTAATGGACACCTACGTAATGGTCTTTTCAAGATTGTTGACAAGTATGACGTGACAGAATACAGGGTACAAGTAGATGAGTCAAACCACAACTAGACTTTAAATTAGTTGACCAAAGGTCATTATTTAGATATATTAATGTAAGGTGTTGCTGCACACACCGACGGGTGAATGTGTGTGTCCTTCACGCTCTTTTTTGATGTTCAGTGCTTCAGGATCACACATCAAACGTTCTTTTTTATTTTTCTCACTTTGGAGGCTTTAGAAACACGTAGTTCAGAGCAGAAAGAGAAAACAGCGTTGAATACGAACCTTTGCGGAGGCGTGAACTGTCCACAGTTCCAATAGTGTTGCTGCGTAAGGCTTTATTCCCAGCACCAGTGGGCACACAGTAGTTACCGTCTGTCTCTGAGACTGAGCGAGGCACACAATAGCTGTCCGTAGGTGAGCGCTCAGCAGTGGGGGGTGGAGGTCCAGCGGTCGAGCTGAGCGAAGGCTTGGGTGGTCTGGGAGGGGGGACCACGTCCCCGCCTCCCTCTGAGCCTCCCACTCCAGTTGATGTCGACATAGTGCGAGGCACCTGGTAGGTACAGTTCGCTCCAGGTGTGGGTGGAATATCGTAACTGATGGAAAGGTTTCGCATCTGCGTCTCCATCGAGTGTTTGCGCGATGGCGTGTTAAAGACGTAAAGCTCGGAACCATCCCCACCGTCTGGGGGCGCCGGGGGCGATGAGGCTGATTTCGGGAGGAGCACCGTGTCCTGGGAGTAGCTGCGAGGGAGGTGGTAAAGGCCGCTGTCTGTGGAGAGTGAGGCACCACGTGATGGAGGGGAGTCGTAGATGGAAGACGCAGAGGCGGGGGCTGGATGCTGAGGGAAGAAGCCGTTGTGCGAGGTGTGTTTAGCCGAGGAGGTGGAGGACGTAGGTGTGCGGTGAGAGGGGAGGTTGTCATTCAGGTCTGTCTCAGAGGAGGTAGACTTTGAGCACTCGGCATGGGCTCTGAAAAAAAAAAAAAACATGTACATATGTATAAGACAGATCCACATCTGCTGATTGGTAAAAAAAATTAGGTCTTGAGCAAAACCTTCAGAAGAAATGGACAGAGCTTTATGCACTGCAGGCTTAGGGTGCAGCTAGCAGTGGGTCACCTGAAGTGTTAGGCTAGTTTCCATAGCGACTCGATTTGTATAGCATATAAAGAAAATGTTTCTACCTATTTACCAACATGGGAGCAGCATACAAACCGAGTTACTTTCATTTGAGAGCCACTGTTTCAGCCACAGTCTTACTAAGGATTCGCTCTGTTCAGTTCTTATTCACAGTCTATGATCTTGAGCCACTGCAAAGCAGGAGGAAACTTCACATCTGCATTTCCTCCGTGGTCAAAGCAACAGAAGTTAGCTGTTAGCCTACACTCACTGATAAAAAAAAAAGTTCATCCTACTTATTGGGTGTTAGCCTACACTCACTGATAAAAAAAAGAAAAGATTCCAACCTACTTATTGGGCACTCCAGCTGTAGACATTACAAATGTATCCTTCATTAAATAACTAACAGAAATGGATGGGATAGTTGTTTATGTTGGTGTTGGTGATTTTTTTTTACAAAGTTAAATTACAACATTTGACTTTTGCATTTTCTTTTAATGTCTGAAATAAAATACTGGAGCACAACTAGGCAACTTAAATTATGAAGTTTAAATGTTGCTTAGATTATAATCCTGATCTTTGCTGTGGAAATTTGCTCATTTCAAAAAAGTCATTTCTAGTATAATCCTGATCTTTGCTGTGGAAATACAGTACATTTGCTCATTTAAAAAAAGTCGTTTCTGGTTTTAGTTTGTTTTGGTGAAAACACTGTGAGTAAATCTTCATCAGTTTGCCAACAAATCCACAAGCCACTACGTCCTTCATCTCTTTCTCAGACTCTAAGGAGATCACTGAGGCGCATTAGCTGTTGAGTGTGTTCTAAACATGCGGGGCACTGTACACATGCAGGTCATTGTAAAAAAATTAGTCAAGTTTTAATTTAGAAAACTCTCTTTTTTCTTTATAATCCAGGTGTAGCACTCCACACAAACAGGCACTTCCAGCTGCAGGGCCGGCCACTCACTGACTAGCCTGTGGATAAAGAGTCTTGCTTTCACACTCCTCCAGGAGAAAATACTCCTGATCTCCCTCCGACAGAGAGTGAAGGTGAATGGAGCTACACACATCACAGAGCAGACACAAACAGGAGTTGGCAAATACGGGAGAAACATACGACAACATCTCCAGAAGGTAGAGTATGGTGAGGCATAGAGAAACACACTGACCTGTTGGGTTCAGGTTTTTTACTCTCACAGTTGACCAGCCATAGGTAATCCTGAGGCTCCTCTGTACTGGACTGAGAGTCCAGGTGACGCACACTGACCGGTTGGTATGGAGGAGGAACACTGGACAGAATTCCAGCAGCTGGGCCGACAATATTCACCAGTGCCGGGTGTGGAGGAGTGTCCACCACCAGGCCTCCGATTCCAGACTGGTGAGCAGCTTTTGCAGCTTCTGCAGAGGGAGAGAGAAATAATCCATGAGAATCAAACTGCCTATTTTAAACACTGAGCTCAAAGTGTCTGTGTGGACAGGGAGGTCTACAAATTCTGTTCTCTAACTATGATCCAGTTTCAAATTAATATTTCAGTTTCAACCCATGTCTTATGTTGACTCCTCTCCAGTGTTCAGGTAAATTGGAATATAAAATGAAGACCTGCTCCTTGCAAAGCCCGTGATCACGATTCACGTGTTTGAGAGGAGTGGAGATAAGAACTGGATAAAATAAACAGAGCGGTGTTTACTAATACTTACTACAGCAGAGTAAACTTGAACCTGACCTGTTGCCTAGCAACCAGACTGTGGTGTTACAGTGTGCAGTCACACACAGCTTTTTTGGACTGAGGCTAGAGCTCAGTAATGTCCAAACATGAGGGGCAGGTGTGAGCTCCCCGTGACCAAACAAGAACTTCAAAGATTTAAAAAAAAAAAAATACTGATCAAAAATCAATGAAAAAAAAAAAATACTGATCAAAAATCAATCACAAAAAATCCACATATATATATATGTATGTGTGTGCGTCAAATCATAACATTAACAATTATTCTTACATATACACAAAACATCCTGCATGTGTTTCAATCGATCGTTTTTTTTTTTCACCTGTAAATTGCTCCACAATTTGTTCAGGTGATAAACTGCTTTTCAGACTCTTTTTTTTTTCACAGAATTCATCGTAGGCTGACAGCAAGCAAAGATGGTTCTCATCCCACATTTCAGCACTTCTTTTTATTTATTTTTTGTTTTCACAGTCCTCCCACTCCTTTCTGCTGCACCCATGTATATGTCAAACGCAGTCAAAGGCGATTTTTTTTCTTTCTTTTTTAACATTATACTCTGTGAGCACCTCACTTCTCTTTCTTGTTTTTCATTTTCACATTTGCTTCAGTGCTGATTCATCCGAGGGAAACCCCCCTCCGCTCACACTCACCGATACCTCCCACGTTCACTCTGAGCCTTCGTTCTGCCCACCTAATGTTTTCCTCAGTAACATCTTCATGACTACCTAGTGTGGCCACACAGAACGGAGGAGTGGGTGCTGGGTCTCACGTACAGAGAGCTGCGGCAGAAGAGACCAAGGCCGTTCTTTTTACTAACAAGTGCAGCGAAGGCAGTCTTTCTTCTGAGAGACTCCGAGAGTTTTCATCTCCCAGCTCTAACAGCTATCGTCAATAATGTTACAGAAGTCAGTCCACAAGTGTTTTCAAGGTGGCGTGTTGACAAAGACAACAACCTTGAAGCCGCATTAGTAAAGTCGTCAACTGCAGTTTAGATTTGATGCAATATGCCAGTCATGAAAGGCAAAGTAAAAAAGGATACACTACAGAGTTATGAAAGTCTTTTTGGAAGAAAGAAGTTTTAATATTTTTTTTGGCTTGGAAAAAAACAACTTTATAGTTTAGTTGTGTCATTTTTTCAGTGGTTCAGTGTAGAAATGGCTCGATCCAATACTGGGTATCGGTCCGATACAGTTTGGTATTTTTTTTTTCTTTTTTGCAGGACCAGTCAGACTACCAAATAAGGGCATTTATGGTTCAGAAAATATGGCATTTTGTATAATGTGGGTTGTTTAGATTACCTGAGCTGCTGTAGGACTAGGTACTGCTATAACCTTTAGAGTACTTCTACCTGTACTCTACTCTGAAGAAGAATCACCTTTATTGTGATTGTACATATACAGATGTATACACACAACAAAATGGGTCCTCTGACTGTGACCCTGGGGAGCGATGATTTGTCATCACACCAAGACTAGAATGGAGCAAAGACTTTAACAACCTGAACCTGTATCAAACCATAAACCTGTACACAACGTGGATTCTGAATCTCATCTTAAAGCAGACTACGTGAAGGCAGGCATGATACTACAAAGTCGAAAACCCAACCCAACAATGGAATGAGTATTTGACCCCAGCATGAGGAAGAAAACGCCACTGAAAGTTTAAAACCAAAAGGAAACACAATGCTTTGATTATTTGGTTCTAAGGAGAGTAACTTGAGACTCAACAGAATTGAATCAACTCAACGACCATTAAATCCTGTCTGAGAACTGTGCTGTACAACAACTATTTCTTAAACAAGGAAGAAACGGATAGAAAATCAAGAAGCACCAATGAAATCCTTGGACTACCGTTGAGCTAATAACGTTATGTGGTGAAGGTTTAAAAGAAAACATAGTACTGAAGTTAAATCAGTACCACCACATTGTTTTGAATGTTTGATGATGTTTTGAGTTTCATTTCCTCCATGCTTGTCTTTGTGGTAACTTTCATGAAGGCCAACCTATAAGGATATTTTTAGGGTCATTTCTCACCATCATCTGTGGGGTTGAAACCGCAGATGTCACAGATGCAACGGACCCACTTGTTCATCTCTTCTTCTGTGTCAGCCACTAAGTAGAAGACGCGGTCAATGGTCTTGATGTCAAATATGAAGCTGTTCTCCAGATCCTTCTTGTTAAATGTCAGCCCTGCATCCACCTGGAGAACAATTCACAAAGTGGAGAAGATATTTCTTAACTAAACAATAAAACATTTTATTAAAAAACAGATGTAAAAATAACACAAGAAAGAAAAAACAAATAGAGTGCATGTGAAAACATCACTAATTCACCCTGAGGTTTCACTTATTCAGGAAGCTCACCTGCTCACACAAGTTGAGATCGATCACACGTATGGGCTTCTTGGCATGGTCATTTTTGTAGTACTCCAACACGTCTGGGTCGCCTGTCAGACGGCCACTGCGGAGAACAAACCACCGCTTCTTCCATGCCTGCAGGATGAGCACAGAAACAACGGTGACGGTTACTTAGGTATTCGTGCAGCAACACTTCGTCGACCACAGGTTGACTTTAACCATGGTCATTGACTTGTATATAAAATAAAAACAAATATAAAGATTAACACACTGAAGTAGGAATGGAAAATATTTTTTAATGTGTCGTTAGTGATAAGGAGTAAGTTTAGAAATATCCATTTATTTTTTAAAAATTAAACTTTTCATGGACAAGAAACTCGTTCTTCAGCAAAAAGTTCCGACTCAGGAACAATAACACGGCCATGTCAGAGCTTGTACGATGTGTTGCACTTCATTATCTGCTTTGGATGTGACATATTTCTATTACCTTCAAATAAAAATTACTTTAGCTATTTCTATTATCAAAGGAATTCTGTTACTATAATTCTACAGTCATTTCATAATCCCAATTGTTGGCCTGATGATCATAATTAAATCAAATGACATTGTGAGGTACCCAGAGCCTTAGACAATTCAATTATAGACACAAGAAGTCTGAGGGAGCACCGAGCTTCTGCACCACCACTTACTCACTCCTGTCAAACTAAGGTGATAACAAACATCGATCTCTCCGAGACAAGCAAACATTTTCATTTTGGATTATTTTCCAATACTAGCCTGTGCACTTTGATTTTATCTCAGTAGTTTTGCAGTAAAACAACAAGTTAATTTATTTAAATAATTCCTTTATACAACAATCAAGGAACACGGCAGAGAGTTTTCCCACACAGACTCAAATGCAAGTTTGAAATAAGAACCGAGACCTAAGGGACAAACAACCAGATTCAGATCAGACAGATACCAACAGAGTGTTAGGAATGCAAACAAGAGCTTTGGTGCTGTTTTCAGCGAAAGAGTTTGAGCGTATTAACAATGCTGTGAGCTGGGATATTTTAAACCCTCAGATGTTTTTCAATCCACATGGTGTCCTTTGTTAGTTGGCCAAGCCCTGGACTCAAACTGCATGAAGGACATCAGACGCTTTCCTCCAAAAACAGGAAAAAGAAACATTCAGCCACACAGAGCTGCTGCTGAATATCCAACTGCACCTCAAACAAACACATGAAAACTCTGCAATATTATAAAATATTATAAAAAGAAAAGAAAAGAAATGAACACACCACGTTTCTCCCACACTCCTGGAAAATGTACTACTACTTTGAAAAGACATCACATTATAAATATATCAACACAAAAACGCCCACAAAGTGCAGGTGAAGCGCAGCACTTTCATATTAAAATGGATCCTAAAAATTGAAAGGAAAGACCAGAGGCGACACAGATGCATCTCTGTTTGTAAGAGACAGTTTTTTTTTCTTTTTTTTTTTTTTTTTACTCTGCCTGTCTTTCCCTCTCTCACTTTTCTCTGTGGCACATGACAAAGCAGTCCTGGGTCAAGTTACCCTGAGGGGAACAGAAGGACCAAGAGCTTAGGTTACAGTAAAGCCCGGCCCGCCCCAAAATGACCTTGTTGACAAGGTGGTGGTGGTGGTGGTGTGCTGAGGACAGAGGCAAGTGGGACCTGTTCAACCAAACCGAAAGATTATCATTCCTTAAAAACCAGAGGAACACCGGCTTCTTAATAACAATCAGGTGTTCTGTGGTTGAAGGAAATGATGTGACACCGGAGCGTTTGTTTGATGCTGTTAAAGACATGACCCACTTCTGACCGGTCCTAACTCTTCACAGAAGAATTTCTTAAAATATTCAACCTGAAGATTTTAAACTACTGTTTTCAAAGGCTGAGGCTCTTGAAAAAAACAAAGAAAAAAATAAATAAAATATTAACATTTCAACCCATCTTTTGAGACACAACAGGTACAACTAAACGATCAAAAAATACTGAATAATAATTGTTTATATGCCCAATATGGGACACTGAAAATGTGAGAGCCGACTTCTACTTTCTCTAAAAATAAAACTGGAAATATATACATATATATTTTTATACCATACCTTTTACATGGCAGCAGCTAAGCACCTCGTACAGGTCTGAATAATATGCACAGGAAATGAGAAAAATGATTTTTAGCCCCACCACAACAATGGGATGTCAATAATTGTGCAGCGCTGATCGGTTGTATCATTTGTTGTACCATCTCTACGTAGGTCTAGTCACAAAACAACCTCTCAGATGAAAAGCTGTTTGGTGACGAAGCCCCTCTGCGGTAATTGTTGGCTTTCACACAACTTTACATTTCTAAATATTCCTGCTAATCATAAAGCATCAGGGACACTTACTTTATATTGTTCAAATAGAAATATGACAACAGGGCGCCTTCGTTATAGCGCCATCAACTGTGCAGAGACAGCTGTGCAGTCTGAGGACCAGGTGGAGAGATCAACACGGGGATCACCCAGACACAGTTGTTCAGGGAAAGGAAATCAAGGGGGTTGATCCTGCTGATGTGTCACCTTATTCCATGGAAGTAGTCAGGGATGAATGTCCACTTCCAAGTAATTCTTAAAGAATAAAAATGAAACCCCGGCACGACTATGTGTCGATGGACTGAAGCATATGTTTTCCTACCTGAGGGATTTATATAATTCATTGGTTCAAAAATTTGAAACTAGTTTGGGTTTTAGCATCCTGCCATAACCAACACTCAAGCTCTACCATCTCATTTTTACTGCACTTAAAAGACTAATTATCTTTTTATGGTTTGAACAGCTTAATGCAGTTCAAAAAGCCCTTAAGTGCTCTAATTGCTAATGCGAATTTACTGTCATCCAAGGCTGTTAAACTGCATACCGCGCTTCGTCTTCTCTGTCTCTAATGGTAAAGATAACAGACAGGCTGGGCTTCCATAATTCTGCAGAACCAGCAGCGGGGACATTACACAACACTATCTCTTCAGGATATGGATTAGTGTGTCATGTCTATAACACTAGCGATAAACAATGGGGAAAGTCACACGGAATTACTCCCACTGTACCAGACCTTGACCCCTGAACTCAGCGTTATTATCAGTGTTAACATTTAAAGTCTTAGTCTTGCTGTAAGATGGGCTCAGTCCCACATTAGTCAATACAACTGTTAATTCAGTATTCACTGATTTACCAATGAAATAAAATTTAGATTTTTCTGACATTCTCACATGAAATATCTTAATCAACATATTGTAATTTATATTATTTTTATATTGACGTCTGCAGCTCAAGATTTTTCTGACATTCTCACATGAAATGTCTTAATCAACATATTGTAACTTATATTATTTTTATATTGTATATATTGACATCTGCAGCTCAAAAACATTAGGATGAGTTGCTGTTGCACATAGGGCAGGTTTCATTTGCAAATCAGCACAAACTGATGTCCACTTGCACTCCACAACCCACTTAGTAAGGCCATCTGTCAGGCCTTTGTGGGCAGTGGTGAAATGACCTGCAACCCAGCAGCAGTGACACGTCAACAGCTACGCTGTTCTTCAGAAAAACAACAATGATAGGGAATCAGCAAAAGAGAGTCAGGCGAAGAAGAGCACGAGGTGAAGAGAGGGGGGAGGAAAAGTCAAGATCTCTGGGATAACAAAACATATTAGTATTTACTATCACGTCATCTACTAGACATCAAGACAGATATTACTGCCAGAAAGAATTTTAAAAAAATCAGAGGATATGACAGGAAGAAAACATATAATGTATTATCTTGTAATTTTAAAGGAGAATACAAATTAAAGGAGGTGGAACCTTTGACATTTATTTAAGAAGCACTAAGACCAGGTAAAAATATTTTTTCCACGTCTTTTGGCACAGTTTGCTGTTTGTGAAGGAATTGCAATAAATTAAGAAAAATAAACAAAAGAACATGTGTGAGCTATTTCAGCAACAAGTCAGTTTTAAATGACAGCATCTAATGACGCACAAACAACAATACAACATTTTTTTCCATGACAGCGCAGTCACACACAAATTCTTTAAAAAACAAATACGCAGTCCTGCAGACCACAGAGCCGCTCCACGTCTCACTGTTAGGACGTTAAGACTCTACCGAACAAAGGCCAGTCAAGAGAGAGAAGTGTCAAGCGCGTCAGAGGTTTTGGCGCTCTTGGCCTTGGTGACGTGGTCTGCAGAAAGAGAGGGAGCGAGGGGACAATGGCACCTCTATGCTGACTGCCGCAATTTGTATAAATCAGTCTTTGTTAGCAACAAATGACTAGGATTCTTGCTAAAGAGCTATTTTTACATCCTTGAGCAGCAGAAAGGGCAACTAATGTGCAAAACATTGCATGTGCTTTGGCCAAATAGTGCTGTTCAGCAGACGTCATCATGCCTTCACCCACTGGAAGATCAGGGGACTTCCAGGAAACGTGCAAGATCAGTGGTCAGAGCTCCAAGCTGCAGCAAACGATGATAAACTCCAGTAAGTTTTAAAACCAAGTATCTGACCTGATCGAGGTAAACACGACTCATTTGTACATCATCGTGCATGAGTGACTGAACTTACTGAACTTACTGAAAGTAACTGAACGTTTTACGACACAACAGTGTAAATTATATTATGTAACCCAAGATAAGATTTGTGTTTTGTTTTTTTCTCAGATTTACCTATGACCTTTTCTTAACCAATTAAATTATGATAAAACTCCAAAGTATGTCAGCGTTGTGGATAGCCTCAATAAAATGTCAGAAATAAACTTGCATTCCTTGCCGTTATTTTTGGGTTCCTTCTTTATTGTTCAACTTAGTAACGTATAAAGTAAAGTAAAGTATATATTAGAGTATTTTGCTCGTATTTTTATTATTAAATTATTATTAAATAATTATTATAATATTATTATTTTGATTGTATTCTAGAGTTTTTCATAATAATAGTTCCAGTAGTTCTTTAGTTCTGCTCAGACGATGATTTTGGAGGTAAAATCCAACATCACACAGAATTGTTTTCAGGTTAGGACAAACACTTAGCCTACACTTTAACGAATCGCCACACACAATAAAACATCATTTTTTTTAAGCCGTCCAAAAAACAT